TTTTCTTTTTCGGTATGTTTCGCAACCATTCTAGTAGTTTCATACCATTCTTCTTCCACCATTTCTTTATCGTAATGATATAAATAATACCAACCNCTTTAAAGATAAAGATGGAGCAGTTAGATTATTGGACATATTCTGGTTTACAACTTCTTTCGTCACTTGGTTGTATTTTATCAAACAAGCTCCCAAACAGAGAGTGTCTCTCTTGGCGTAAGGTTCCCATTCGTGTCTCAATTCCTCCCAGTTGTCTCGCGTGTATTTAGCGATATCTACGTCGGCAATCTTTCTCAAATTCGCGGGAAGATTGGAAGAATTTCCCCATGCAGCCAAACTAGAGGATTCGTGTTGATAGGAACACGTGAAATTAATATGTTGTAAATAATTACCCTTTATTTCTTTCTGTCTTTTCCATTTTTTCTGTAAATCTTCATCCGTGTATGGATTAGATAAAGGAAAAGATAGAATTCCTCTGGGTGTTTTTAAAGGGCAATGCGTTAGTTTTTTTGCATTTTTAAGCACGATCTAGTTGTCGAATCCACTGCCGTTATGAGAAATTAATATTAATCTCTTTCTATCATATTGACCTAAATATTTCAACATTTGATCGATGCAATCTGTACCTACAAATATTTCTACTACATTCATTAGTTTATCATAAAATTCTTCTGGAATGGGATCTGACGGCTTTAAATCTGGAAAGAGATTATTTATTTTGTTTAACATTTTCCTTAGTTTTTCTAAATTAATTAAAGTGCAGGCATAAGGAATTGCTCTTCGCGTGTCTTTTTCTGAATACGTTTCGCAATCCCAAGCGAATAACGCATCATCACTCATACTCGAAAGCACGTTTAGATTGAGGGGTGAAACCTGTGTTACTGCGTTGTCGTCTCTACACATTTTCCACACCTGTTCGTAATTGTCTTCTATTTCTTGAATTCCCAAACTTTTTTGGCTTCTTCTAATCAAACAGAAATGCGAGTTGTGTAAGTAAAAAACCCAATCTAATTCATCGTGAACGTCTCTGGGATGAAAATGCCTGTTTTTGGGATTATAAATTTGAAACGAAGTGTTAAATTTCTTGTTGAATTCATTCATTCTAGCACAAGTCATCACTCCTTTTCTATTTGCTTTTAAAAACCCGTTGATGTATTCTTGAAATTTACACGTTAAATCTTTGTTCAAAACACGATTGACGCATTTGATAAAACAGTGACTATCTGTAGTTATGTAACAATTTTCGCCTTCGTATTCATTGATCTTTTTAAGCAGACCGGTTCCTCCTCTACCAACTCCCGATCTTTTTATTTCTTGGAAATTGTCTTTCATTAAAATTATTTTTCCTGTAAAATACCAATCGGGAGCATCGGATTTTTTGTCCATATTTGAAAAGATATTGTGAAAAGTTTTGGCATTGAAACCGAGGAGTGACATGTATTGTCTGTGATTCCCTTCCTCGACTATCTCTCCATCTATTTTAATTTGGCCTTTGAATGTTTTAAATTTATCAGAGATAGCCTTGATAACATCGGAAAAAAGGGCGTTTTCTGTCAATGTTTCATCGTCTGCAAGTTCGATTTTATTCATATTTTTTTAAGTATATATTTTTGATTATTTCTTTATTTTGACCGCTGATATTTCTGTATGGAATTTTTTCCAAAATTTCATTGAATTCTTGTAATTCTTCAACAGTTATGTTCTTGTCTTCTCTCGATCTTTCGAAAAAGATGTACAATTGATTAAGATACATATTCAAGATATCCGTTTTCTTTTTATAATGAGCTTTCTTTTTGCTCGTGAAACCTAAAGTGATGAGACCGCAAGAAGTCGTTTGAACGGTTGGGACGATGACCGGAAGCATTAATTCACCAGTCACAGCCGTTGCCACCGTTACTCCTACCGTTAGAACTGTGCTCGCTGTTTTGAAAAAAGAATCGATTCTACTCCATGTTTTCCTGCATGAATTGTACTGTCTCAACTTTATTTTCAACTCTTCTTGTTTGTCTATCATGTATTGTTGTCTGCTTTCGAGTTCCATTTTTTAAGTCGTTAAATTAAGTGAATTTCCGATAAATGGAACCACGGAATATCGTATAGAACCTCCTTGTTTGGCCTAGCATTATTATATTTGCGGGTATTAAAAGTAAAAACATTTACGCGTACTAACGACATTTCTTTTTTCGTATGGTCCTCTTTAAGATGATAGGAATATTTTATTTTTTGTTTTTCGATGTTTATCTTGGCTCTAGAAATAGAGTCGGAACCTTCGGCAAACGATAAATGTACTATAAACTCTCTTTCTGTTGACTTTTATGAACATCGATCGAGGTGTATTTTCCACCTAAAACAAAATACAGTTTTACGTATTCAAAGTCTGTTGTTCGTAAAAACTCGTGACTGCTCGATTCTATTGGTCCGGGTACGTATACGGGTATTATAAGTGATGGTGGAATTTTGACAATGTTGGTTAATGGTGGATTTTCCGTCTCCAATATCATATCCAAATCTTTGATTCCAATGATATCCTTATCATTTTCTACTTCCATTTTAAAGGTGTCTACATATTTAACATTTTTCGTTTCAATTTCCTGATCCCTTTTATCAATCAAACGTATATTCTCTTCCAAATTGCCATCATTGAATAATGAAATATGTTTGACGGCCTTACCGGTTTGTTTGAAGACTACTTTATTGACTTTAACCTTCATGGGAAACTCTATTTGAATCAGACAATTACCTCGAAAAGAAAACTCTTGCGTTTCGCCGATATCGAATACGTTTTTAGGTTCTCCGTATGCGAGAGTACCTACTTTTATTTCTGCTTTGAATCCGTATTTGTTTGATTTATAAATTTGATCTTTTCTATCGAAGACAGTGTCACTTTCGAATGGAAGATTGAAATAATACGATTTGTCCGTGACAATAGCTTCTAATTTGCTCAACTTCCTCTCTTGTCTCAAAAAATCGTCATGAATTCTAGATACCAAAAGATTGACCTGTTCTTTAATATAATTTTTCATATCATCTCGAAATTTATTTTGAAGAAAGTTTTTAATCACACCCGTGATTTTAGTATCCAAAGCAGTCAATTGTCGTTTCAACGTATCTTTGTCAATGGGAAGTGTGTTAATTATATCTTGAACATCTGATTTTTGCTTCGCGATCTTTTCGTTCAAATTGGATATCGAATTTTGTAACTCGGTTTTGTCCGCGGTCTTGTCTAGTTCTGCTAGCAATTCGCCAAGTTTTCTTTCCAAAGCGGTTAGTTTTCGTTTCAATCTATCCTCGTTAACATTTGGGTTATCTATTAAACGTTGGACGTCTATTTTTACCTTCGTAATCTTATCGTCTAATTTAGATATTAAATTTTGCAACTGACTTGTTTTATCCACTTGAATAAGACGTTTCAAACTCGTTAACTCTTGTTGTAGTTTGGGTTCGTCCACAAGATTTTTAATATTTCGTCTGATGAATCTTTTCACGTCATTTAATCTATTTTCAACATGGTCCTTATCTATTTGAATTGCGTTTATTTGATCCAGTAAATATTTCTTGTTCACGCATCGTATCGTTTCCTGGAAACTTTGAATTAGTTATTTTGAAATTGTTCATATCGATATCCCCTTGTAAGGTGTCTCCGATTTGATCCACGAAAAAAAGGTTTCGCTTTGTTTATAAACGCCGTAGAACTCATGGGATTTTTAGATTCTAGAGGTAAAGACCCTAATCCAAACTTGTTTGCCATTTTTATTGAGTTAAATTTATTATAATTTCTTCAAACTTTTCTCCCAAACTCAACCGATATAAAACCCAAAGCGACAGCTGTCCACACAGCTTTTGTCCTGGCATTTGAATTTGAAACGTAGAACATTTGATTGGTTTGTTAGTCAATTTCGTTATCTCTTCTGTCGGTTCTAGACCGAAAGAATCAAAGAAATAAAAGTTATTCGAAGAATCTTTGTGTAAAGCAGAGTGATGAACTCCTTTTTGAACGGCGTGTGAATGTTTGTGATGGCGTAAAATTTACCTTTCTTGTATTTCAGTTCATCAATTTCATCTCGCATGCAATAATAAAACGGCGAGACGTTCAACTCCTTGGCCCATTTCACAAGTTGAAAATTTGTGGTCGTGTCTTTTCCGTATTTATCGAGAAATGCATTCATTTTTTAAGTTGATTTTTTTTAGGTGTTTTTCGATGTAGGCGGAAAGTATTGCTGAAGACCCAATTGACGAAATATATACGTAGTTTGTGTTTGAAAAAACTTGTATAACATTCTGATAAAACACATTCAATAATATTTTGAAGATAAATTTACATTTAAATTTAAAAAATCTTAATTTAAGAGAGCGAAAATGCTTGTCGACATCTAAATTTCTTAACCTTTCATCTAAATCTTCATTTTCGAGTCATTTTGATAAAACCTTCCTATGATTTGTTCTTTGTCTTGATCGATCAATTCATACGTGGGAGGTGATGTGTTGTTTACTTTATCAACGATGAATATCTCGTTAGTCCAATAGCCGACGTAACCTTTCTGAAACAATGATTTATATTTAAAAATACGAACCCGATCTCCAACTTTGAATTTGGGTTTAATATTCAAATTGCTAATCTCGTTTTCAAAGTTGTTTCGAGTGGTGACGGACTTTATGATATTCGGGTTATTAGAGGATTGGGATGGCGTCACACCTATAGAATGTATTTTGTTATTGTATTCGTCGACAACAACTGGTAATATTTTAAGCCATTTTTGAGATTTCAATTCCGTGAATTTCTTGAATAATTTGCTTTTAAGAGTCCTGTTGAATCTTTCTACCACTACGGCTTTACCTTCGTTATGCGTGCTGTAAATTTCAAACCCCAGAGATTTCACATTTCTGTTGTAGAATTCGCTTCCTTTATCAACCCACAACTTTAGAGGTCGTCTGTCGGATTGTTTCATTATGGTTTCGAATGCTTGTTTGACAGTCAGACCCGATTTGTTTTTCAAGGGAAAGACCCAAGCGTATCTCGTGTATATGTCGATCACCGTCAAACAATACTTGTACCCTCTCTCGACTGGCATGTTGATTAAATCGGCTGACAAAATTTCATCTTTATCAAAAACTTTGACTTTGAGGTAATGTTTGTTTTTTCGAAATTCTTTGTGAATCTCGTCTGCTATGCCCATACCCAATTTCAATTTTGCCTTCAAGAGTTTTATGATAAGAGCCCTCTGTAATTTCTCTTTGAAAGTGGGATTGGGAATATTTTCGAGTTCGTCTATCATTTGTTTGTCTGCTTGGTGTCTGAATGTTACGTCTTTATTTCTGTACAGTATGTCGTGTTTGAGCGCTGCTGCGTCAACTCTATTAACGGGTTCTTCCCCTGGTTTGGGAATATCATTTTCGTCTAAACGCAGATCTAACTTAGTGCCTGGACCTGTATAATTGTGCCCTGGGAGATGTTTTTCTCCGGAATATTTTGCCCATGGGAATCCAGAAAGAGAACCCAATGACTTTTGAATGTCTCCCGCACCGAAATACGTTTTAGGAGGATGGACATTTATTAAAGACATATTTGTTCAATAAACACCATATATTTTTAATACGAAAGATTTAATACAAGGAGAAAGCGATAGAAATGAATCACTTTATGCAATGTCACGAGCGATCCTAATAAGAGCGGTCATATTCTTGGCCTTTTTCTATCCCTTTACCGATGGTTTAAATATTCTTCGTGATATGAAATGTTGGCATCTAATAAAACTTGTGACTGGAATAAAACAAAAATTGATATTTTGAAAAAAAAACAGCAAATTAATCTTAATTCCACCCTGTCGTCTTATGATTAAATCAAACAAAAAAAAGAACGTACCTTGATTTTTGTATGATTAAATTCCTAATCTTCAACAGAAACATGGCTAACAGTTGAGAGTCTAGACTGTCTGTGCTGACGTTGCACGCGTGATATGTTAATTATAGCGTGACATATATCCAGTGATCAATAGACGAGTGACTGTTACTAGGCGTTAAAGGTAATTTATTAAATCAATAATACTCTAGACAACTAACTGTGTATAAACAGTGTTACCTTCCATTAATCAGTTGAGGTTTTTATTTCGCATTTCTCTTATATGTTGTAATTCTTTCAACTCGTTAGATCTTTTCACTGCATCGCTTATATCTACTCCTGAGGAAATTTGTTGTTTGAGACAAAATTGGCCACTTTGGGGATGAGAGATGTTAGCGCAGAGAAGAAACCGTCTCCTTCGAATTTTTTTTGTTCGTGTTTTAAAATTAAAGACATTTTTAATGCGGTTATTTTTTACTGTATTATTATTAGTGATTCTTGTCTGTGGTTTGGGTAATTTATATGGAGTCTGTTATAATACAGTTTGGGGGGAATCTGTTATAATACATTTTTAACAGTTTGGGGAGTCTGTTAT